TTATACATATTAATTGAATTAAAATTAAATCAAATTAAAAATTTTGAAACCATTGACATGTCACACAGTTGTAGAAAATAATGCAGAAGGATCCCCAAGATGTCACTTAATAACATTATGCAAAACAGTAATACAGTATCACAGCCAGGTTGCTGATACTATTCAATGTCCTTGCACAGAACCTTCTCTTCATTGACCTCCCCCTAGCCACATCCACCTGTCTACTTCCACTCCTCTAGTTTAATATTTTAAAGCAAAGTTGAGATTGTATATTTCAAGTCACTACTAGTTTTCAACGCCGTTTTATAATGACATTATATAAAACCATAGTTGCTGGGGCTTGAAACCGAGTACAGGGATCAAGGTGTTTACCTAGCATCCTCTCAACCCTGGAGTGAATTTCTTACTCCACAAATGGTCCCCCAAGAACCAGTTGGTCAATTTATTGGTTAGAGGACGTACAGCAGGTAAAGTACTTGCTTTGCTCGTTCCTGACCATGGTTGATTCCCAGCATCCCAGATGGTCTCCCAAGCATTGACAGGAGTGATCCCTGAGTGCAGGGGTTGGTCACTCCTGAACACAAAATTAATATTAGCTGATAATGGTATCTTCAAAGATGTCACGCCACTGGCCGAGCAAGTGAAAACAGAGATAGACAAATGGGACTATCTTAAACTAAGAAGCTTCTGCACCTCAAAAGAAGCATTGACCAAAATACAAAGACAGCCTACAGAATGGGAAAGGATATTCACCAAGTACACATCCGACAAGGGGTTGATATCAAGGATATACAAGGTACTGGTTAAACTCCACAAGAAGAAATCACCCAACCCCATCAAAAAATGGGGTGAGGAAATGAACAGAAACTTTCGCAAAGAAGAAATTTGAATGGCAAAAAGGCACATGAGAAAATGCTCTACATCACTAATCATCAGAGAGATGCAGATCAAAACCACAATGAGATATCATTTCACACCACATAGACTGGCCCACATCCACAAGAACAAAAGCAACCGGTGCTGGCGTGGATGTGGCGAGAAAGGGACCCTCCTTCACTGCTGGTGGGAATGCCGGCTGGTCCAACCCTTTTGGAAAACAGTATGGACGACTCTCAAAAAATTAGAATTTGATCTGCCATTTGACCCAGCTATAGCACTCCTGGGAATATATCCTAGAGAGGCAAAAAGGTATAGTCGAAGTGACATCTGCAATTGTTTGTTCACTGCAGCACTCTTTACAATAGCCAGAATCTGGAAAAAACCTGAGTGCCCAAGAACAGATGACTGGTTAAAAAAACTTTGGTACACTTACACAATGGAGTACTATGTAGCCGTTAGAAAAGATGAAGTTATGAAATTTACATACAAGTGGTACTACATGGAAAGTATCATGTTAAGTGAAATGAGTCAGAAAGAGCGGGATAGACACAGAAAGATTGCATTTATCTGGGGAACATAAAGCAACAAAAAGGGAGATTAACACCCAGGAATGGCTGAGATTAGTACCAGGAATTTTGCTCCATGAATGGAAGGCCAGCCACAGGCTCTAGGTGAAAAGGAAGCTCAGATAGAGAAGAGAGTACCAAATGAAGAGTGTTGTGAGGGCCCTCCCAGGGTGGGAGAAGCATGCTAAAAGTAGTCGATAGACCAAACATGATTGCCACTCAAAGCCTCTCTTGCAAAACACAGTACCCAAAAGAAGAGAGAGAGAACAAGGGGGAATACCCTGCCACAGAGGCAGGATGGGCGGGGGGGGGGATGAGGGGTGGGGGGGGATGCTGGGACCCGTGGGGATGGATGACGGGCACTGGTGGAGGGATGAGCACTTGATCATTGTATAACTGAAACCCAAGCACAAAATTTGTAAGCCTATAACTGTACCTCATGGTTTTTCACTAATAAAAAAAGAAAAAAAAATTAATATTAGCTGAGTATAGCTGGATCTGACCCATACCCTACCCCAATCACAATTGCTACATAAAATTCTTGACAGTATTTTATCTTAACATTCTATTGTATAACATTATATAACATTCTATTGTATTTTTTATGACATCTTATTATCTCATTCCTACTTTGGACAAACTTGCAGGCTATTGAATGTAGCCTGCCCACAGGGCAGAGTCTGGCAAACTCCCCGTGGCGTACCAAATATGCCAAATACCAGTAACAATGATGGGTCTCATTCTCCTAAAGAGCCTTGAATATAATCTCAGGGCTAGGATGAAAGAGATGTTACTGGGGCCTGCTCGAGGCAATCGACGAATGAAAAAATTCTATTGTATAATGTGTCAACTTTTCCCACTATTGTTGAACATTTCATTTATGTTTTTGTTATCTGTTCTAAATAATACAATGATTACCACCTGGTACACAAATATTTTTTTAGGGAGGAGAGATTTGGGCCGGACCTGGCTTTGCTCAGGATTTACTCCTGGCTCTTTGCTCAGGGATCACCCCTGGTGGTATCAGGGAACCATATGTGGTGCCGGGAACCGAACTCAGGTTGGCCATTGTCAGGCAAGTGCCTTAACCACTCACTGTACTATCTCTCTGGTTCCATGCATCTTTTTAAAATCTCGTTTAAATGGAGTACTATGCAGCTGTTAGAAAAGATGAAGTCATGAAATTTACATATAAGTGGTACTACATGGAAAGTATCATGCTAAACAAAATGAGTCAGAAAGAGAGGAACAGACATAGAAAGATTGCATTCATCTGGGGAATATAAAGTAACAAATTAGGAGACTAACACCCAAGAAGAGCCGAGATAAGTACCAGGAGGTTCACTCCATGGTTTGGAGGCCAGCCGCACATGCTGAGCGAGAAGGCAGCTCAGATAGAAAGGGGAGCACCAAGTAAAGGGTGTTGGGTGGACCTTCCCAGGATAAGAGATGCATGCTGAAAATAGACTATAGACCGAACATGATAGCCACTCAAGGCCTCTTTTGCAAACCACAGCACCCAAAAGGAGAGAGAGAGAACAAAAGTAAATGCCCTGCCACAGGGGTGGGGTGGGATGGGGGGTTGGGGGGGTGGGAGTGATGCTGGGAGCATTGGAGGTGGGGAATGGGCACTGGTGGAGGGATGGGTACTCAATCATTGTATAACTGAAACCCAAGCACAAAAATTTGTAAGTCTACAACTGTACCTCATGGTGTTTCACTAATAGAAATTAAAAAAAAAAATCTCTGTTAACTTTATTTGGACTTCATAATTTTTAAAAACAAATTTAATTTGTTTTACTTGATTATTCCATCCTCACTGAAGTGTTTATGAACTTAATCTTCTTTTCTAATATATTAGATATTATTTTGCTTGTATAGATATTATGAAGTATTATATCTTCACTTAATTTTTTGACTAAAAGCATTGAAGAGTGCAAGGCATTTGATAGAGTCATATAGTTTCTCATTAGAAAGAACTTTCTCTCTGCTGATATTAATCACTTATGGGAAAAGGAAATTACAATTTATTACTGTTTATATTCTTGACTTCTTAGACATTCATAGCAGATGCTTTATCACACAGGCTTGTCTGACTGCAGACAAAGTCCCTATTAGTCATATACCATTTTTAGTTACTTAATGAATCTTCACATTAATCCCCAGCTTTTCCCTTTTTTGTCATGACTGTTTTGGCCAAAGGTCAGCAAAATAATGCCTGCAAGACCCATTTGGCCCACAACTGGTTTTTGTAAATAAAAATGTGTTGGAGCAATGTATGTCTACGTCACTTCTATACTTGCTTCTGTGTAGCAAAAGCAGAATTAAATGATTGTGACAAGGACTGAATGATTAAGGTCCCTTATATATCTGTATTTTTAAAATAATGCTGGGAATTTTATTTGGGTCACAGCTGACAGTGCTCTGGGTTAACTCCAGGCTCTGAGCTCAGGAATCACTCCTGGCAGGCTGGGGGACCGTATGGGATGACAGAGATCAAATCGGGGCTAGCCAGGTACAAGGCAAGCGCCCTATCTGCTGTACTATCACTCTGGTTCATACAGCTAGGATTTCTTTTGCTTTTTTAGATTTTATTTTATTTTTATAAAGTTATTCACAATAGTTTATTACAGATAATATTCAAACACCAATCCCACCACCATGCACCTTCACCTGCTGCCTCCATTCCTCCATAAGAAAAAAGATTGTTGTATTTCACCCTGGAGTCCTTTAAGCCCTTGTATAAGAGATTATAGGCATGTATGTTAACGAATATATGTGCTACTTTTGGTACATCAGTGGGCTAGGGTATAAGAGTTTGCGCAACCACATTTGTGGCTCCAGGACCTTCTGTGTCACTCTCTTCCAGGAGCTTTATTTCATAGTTTTTGGATCTTGGCCATTGATGAGATTATATGGCATTGGAGGCAGCTTGGGGGTGTGACTCCCAAGCTACTAGAAAACTAGGGAGCTAGGGGAGGAAGCCCAGTCTGTTCTGAGCAAGCTTAGGGATCTCAGTCATGGGTTCCACATACCTGGGTTTTTCTGCAGGTTCCTACGTAGGTGAGGCTTGTCCGAACCCGTGGAGAGTGGCCTTGAGTATGGCTGTGTGGTTGGGTTCTGGAGGTTTTTGGCTGCTGGGGCTCTGCTGGGGCTGGGAGGGAAACTCAACTCGCCCCCCTCCAAGTTGCCCCAATGAAGACAGCCACAGATGGGGTTTCAACTGAGACTACATTGAGTATTTTGTCCAATGTCAACTTTCAATATTGAATCTTCTGATGTATCACCATGGTGTCATTTCTGCTATCTGTATTTTCTTTTACACACAAATATTTTTTCATTGGCATCACTCTCCCTTCTTCTATCATATACCCACACACAGAACCTCCCCCACCCCACCACACACACACACACACACCTACATTTTAAATGGAAATTAATTTAAAGTTCTAAAGACCCCACTGCCTCTATTGCACACATCTTCACAATGGACACCACTTCTTCTGCTTCGTTCTTGCCCAGAAGGTTTGGGCTTTGAATTTCAAGAAGGTAAACATGGCATCAGCTGCACAGAGAAAAGGGATGAGTCCAAAACCAAAACTTACTGAAGAGCAGATCCAAGAGATCCGGGAAACCTTTGATGTTTTTGATGCTGATGGAACTGGGATCATAGATGTCAAAGAAGTTAAGGTGCCAAAGAGGGCATTTGGCTTTGAACCCAAGAAAGAAGAGATCAAGAAAATGGTAAGCAAAATTGATAAGGAAGGCCCTGGGAAAGTGAATGCTAGTGATGTTTTGGTTGTCGTGACTCAGAAAATGTCTGAGAAAGATACCAGAGAAGAAATTCCAAAAGCTTTCAAGCTCTTCAATGATGATGAAACTGGAAAAATATCATTCAAAAATCTCAGAATAATGTTCGAGGAGTTGGATGATAACTTTTCTGACAAGGAGGCTGCAGGAAATGATTGATGAAGCCGATCAAGAGGGAGACAGAGAGGTCAGTGAGCAGTAGTTTCTGCACATCATCTTCAGCCTTTATTAAGATCAGCCTATTTTTACTGCAAGCACATCCAACTCTAGCTTAGAACCAGCCTCTGTGAAACTTGTCTCTGTGCAACACAAACACTTCCTGCCTCTGAACTCCCTGTCTAACTTTAGCCACCAGCTCAGAACTGTTTTTAACCTCTGAAAGTTCTCTTTGCTAGTAAGTTCTTTTCCAAAGGATCTGATGACTCTTAAATTCTCTCAGGCACAGTAAGAGAGCACATTACAATGGAGGAAAGGGCCTCAGAGATTCTACTTCCCATCCAATACTGCTCCCTTCATGCATGCATTCCACTTTATCCAACCAGAGGTGAATTTCCTGGACAAACACATCTCGTGCCAGTGTTCCTCAGGTAGGGGAATCTCTTTGATGGATCCTGTTTTAATTGACACCTTGTGCTTTCTCTTTTATAAAACTCTCACTTGCATTTGGATGTGTATTTGTGCTACTTTGTTATGTCTTTAACATAAATTCTTTCTTTTTTGTTTTTTGGTTTTTTGGGGGGTCTCACCCAGCGATGCTCAGGAGTTACCCCTGGCTCTGCACTCAGGAATTACTCCTGGCGGTGCTCGGGGAACCATATGGGATGATGGGAATCGAACCTGGGTTGGCCGCATGCAAGGCAAACGCCCTACCCACTGTGCTATTGCTCCAGCCCCAAATTCTTTCTTGTTTTGAAAAATAATTAAACTTCTATTATCAATATTCTTAATATATAGAAATAAAATTGATGTTGTATATTGATGTAACTAGTGAGTTTGTTAAGTCAACTTGTCAATTGCTATAATAGTTCTTCAGATTTTCTACATATATGATTATGTAGAAAATCACCTTCCCACTCTCTGCGCCCTCCCCACCCAATTTTGCAACTTCCTTTTCAATATCTTTTTTTCGACTTATTGCATTGGCCTGGACCTCTAATAAGGAGTTGAATATAAATGACAATAGTGGATATTTGCATTTTCTCAAACATTTTCTCAAAATAAAAATGTTCAATATTTTACCACTAAATTAGATTATAGTAATAAATAGGGGGGATGGTGGTGGAGCCACAACCAATGGTGCTCAGGGGCCACACCTGGTGGTGCTCCAGAGATCATATGTGAGGTTGGGATTTGAACCATTGTTATGACCACAGCTGCATGCAAGGCAAAGTGCCTTACTTCTGTATTCTTTCTATGGTCTCAATAAGTATTTTGTTAGTATTATTATAAAGGATATCAACAAAATATAAAATTCAAATGCCCATTAAATAATTGTAAATATCAATGAAGAAAATGGATTCCTTCACAATGTGATTGACCTAATAGGTAAAGCAGTGAGTGAAGAAAGCCAGGAATAAGACTATTCAGTATTATTACACTTACAAGAAGTTTGAAAGTAGACAAAATCAATCATAATAGTTCTGAATTAGGAGCCAGAAATGTATTAGATCTTGATTGGAGTAATGGGTACAGAAGATATCCCCTGAGAATGCACCTACAACTAATGCGACTTGATCTTTACAGAATTTATACAGAAACTTCAAGATCTCTATGTTTCACATGAACCTATAGCATTGCAAGCAAGAGCCATTCTCATCAGCCAGCTCACACTCTTCCAGATTATCTATATGAAAGTTTCCTGGGCCATGTTGAGCAGCGACACGAGCAGGAAGGTCCCTGTACAGCCATGGGTGCCCAAATGAGAGGCTAGGTGAGAGGGGACCTCAGCAGTCCTAGAAATGCACTGGAAGTGGGACTTGGAACTTAATCCAGAATCTGCTCTACTGTGGGTCCTCTTCCTCCACAGGTACACGGTGGTGGAGGGTGTGGCCTCTGGGGCTGCAGCTGCTCACGCAGATGCCAGTTAATTTCCTCTTCTATAGTGCACTGGACCCATAAATCAGTCTCCTATACTGAACTCTTACAAGGGTAGCCTGGTTACCCCAACCACATTAGGCCAATAGTCCACTGGTCTATTCCATCAAAACACTCCCAAAACTCATCAAAATAACAGTGGACACAAGAATCTGTACAAACTTAATATAAAAGAACACGGCCCCCAAATTAATGCTAGAGGCCCCACATAGATCACACAGGAGCACCAAAGAGAAAGGTAATATCTTTGAAGGAGAAAGAGGAGACCACCATCAACCGAGCTCATCTACATCCTATTAAAGCATCATGGGGAAACATCGCAGGTCCCCACCACAAGAAGTGGATGAAGAAAAGAACCCTGAGACCTTGTCAGGGAATATCCACATACATATCTGGTAAAGAATTCAGACATGAAATGGTAAGGATGTTTAATGAGTTCAAAGAAACAGTTGAATAGACACCCAATAAAATACAGGAACATATGAAAGAAACAGTGGAATGGTCAGCCAATAAAATACAGGAAGAAATGAGAGCAGAAATAAGAAACCCAAGAAGTGTAACTAATAAAAAATTCAGTAGATGAAATAAAAACTTAGTGGGTGCCCTCAACAGTACAATAACAACAGCCAAAGACAGAACCAGTGAGCTTGAAGATGAGCTTCAAGAAGCACCCAGGCAACAACAGAAGATGAAAAAAGACCTCAAAATTGCACAAGGGCAAGCAAGAGACATATGGGATGAATTTAAGAGGAACAATATAAGAATCATCAGAGTACCATAAGGACAGGGAAGAACCCCAATGAGGTAGTGACAGTTAAAGACATCATTGCTGAGAAGTTCCAGAGCTGAAGAATATAGGCATCCAGATCCAAGAATCCTGGAGGGTACTAGCCAAAAGAGATTCTAATAAAAATACTCCAAGACATATCATAATCCGAACGACAAATACCACAGATAGAAACTCAATACTGTAAGTAGCAAAGTCAAAGAATGAAATCACATATAAAAGAACCTCCCTTCGATTTACAGCAGTCCTATCAGACGAAACCATTCAGGCCTGAAGACAGTGGTAGGATATAGTGAAAAAACTCAATGAAATGAATGTCTCACCAAGAATACTTTATCCAGCTAGACTTTCACTCAGACTCGAAGGAATGATACACTACTTTATGGATAAATAACAGCTCAGGAACTTCGTAGATTCAAACCAACCTTAAAGGAAGGACTGAAGGAGCTACTATAAGACAAGACAAACCCCCAAAACACAACAAACTTCTACAGAAAGATGGCACAAAACCCCATGACAATATCTTTCAATGTCAATCTTCTAAATGCACTAATTAAGAGACACAGAGTGACAAAACGGATTTAAAAACTGAACCCAGATTTCTGCTGCCTAGAAGAAACACATCTGAACAGTCGGAGCAAACACAGAGTCAAAGTGAATATTAAAAACAATTCTTCAAGCAAACAACTCCCTCAAAAAAACCGGGGTAGCCATACTAATATCCAAAAACATAGATTTCAGAGTGAAAAAGATTAGAAGAAACAGTGCAGGCCATTTCTTAATAATCATGGGGCATATACACAGGAAAAAATTGCATTCCTAAACATATACACACCCAATGAAGGGCCAGCAAAATACTTAAAATAACTGCTAATAGGCTTCAAGGAGGTCATTGTTAGCAACACAACAGTAATCAGAGACTTCAACACTGCCTTATCATCTCTTGATAGATCAATGAGACTAAAACTCAGCAAGGAAATACAGCCCCTAAAGGAAGAAATGGAAGAGAGAGTGGTAATAAATACAGGGATTTTCATCCCCCCTAAATCCGGGTCCTTGTTCTTCTTCAATGCACATGGAACATATTCCAAGAGACACATGCTGGGCCACAAAACATACTTCAATGAAATCAAGAATATAGATGTTGTGTCAGCTATCTTTTCAGACCATGATGCGCTGAAAATAGAAGTAAACCACACACAGAAGAGGAGAATAAAATGAAACCCCTGGAAATTAAACAGCCCACTACTGAACAATCAGTAGCTTAGAGAGGAAATCAAAGAGGAAATCAAAAGATTCCTGGAAACCAACAAAAATGGAGACAAGAGTTACCAGAACTTATGGGACATGGCAAAAGCAATGTTAAGAGGAAAGTTTATAGCTCTACAAGCATTCCTCAGGAAGGAAGAGTGAGGCCACAGAAGTAACTTAACCTCAGAGCTTAAGATCTTGGAAAATGACCAACAAAATGAGCCCAAACCAGGCAGGAGGGAAGAAACAATAAAACTTAGAGCAGAGATCAATGAGTTGGAATCCCAAAAACAATCCAAAAGATCAATGAAGCCAAGAGCTGATTCTTTGAAACAAAATGAATAAGATTAATAAACCATTAGCAAGACTCACGGAGAGAGAGAGAGAGAACCTTAATGAAAAGAATCAGAAATGAAAAGGAAGATATCACAACCACAGAAATTCAAAAGATCATTAGAGATTACATCAGAGATTATTACTATACAAGCATATTTATATAGTAGAATGGCAGATTACAAAATCAATACACAAAACCTATGGCTTTCCTATATACAAATAATGAAAGAGAAGAAGGTGATATTTAAAAAAAATCCCCATTTACAATCGTGCCTCAGAAAATCAAGTACTTTGGAATCAGCTTAACTAAGGCGGTAAAGGATTTGTACAAAGAAAACTCCAAAATGCTGTTTCATGAAATGGAAGAAGATATCAGGAAATGGAGACACATCCCCCACACATGGATTAGGAGAATTAACATTGTCAAATTGGCAATACTCCCCAAAGCATTATACAGATTTAATGTGGTCCCTGTAAGGATACCCATGACATTTTTCAAAGAAATAGACAAAACACTCCTGAAATTCATGCGGAACAATAAACTCCCATGAATAGCTAAAGCAATCCTTGGGAAAAAGAGGATGGGAGGCATCACCTTCCCCAACTTCAAACTGTACTATAAAGTGGTGGTAATTAAAACAACATGGTATTGGAATAAAAACAGACCCACAGACCAACGGAATAGGGTTAA